TTTGTACATATGCATATGTTGTTTTATATATGTAAATATAATTAAATTTTCTTATTTAATCATAAATATGTGAATAAGTATTCACAGCCAACAGCTTATGCAATTAGTGTACAAGCACTAATAATTATATACACTTGAACAAGTACATATTTCATAAGTAAGATACATTTAAGACTTCTATTGATGTATTAGTCAGCTTTTAATTTTTATAAAATGTTAACTTAGTGTTTTTATACACAGACTAACAAATATTCAAATATATGCCATTAATGTTAATAAAATGCATCTATCTATATAGGTGAGTGTATAAATACTATATCACAAGATTTTGCACAAAAATGATTGGCAATAAATCATTTAATTATCAGTGTCTTAGTAAGACAAATATTTATTTTCATGCTGATGAATTTTTTTGTTAATTGTCTGTCTGAATCTGCAAGGTTCACATGGTTGGTTTTGCTGCAGGGCACAGAGCTTGTCTGCAGTCTATGAACTGCATTTGTTTTGAACAAGACTGAAGGCCAGTAACTCTCCGGGCACCAAATTCTAATGGCAGGTTGCAACAGTGAACAACCTCTCCAAAGCAAGCTAACTGGTGAAACCTGTCCAAAGATAGCTATGTGGTGAATTGAAGTCCAGAAATGTCTAAAACATGTTCACACACTTTTAATGTTTTCTTTCACTTTCATAAGTATTAACATTTCTAAAAACCTTAACACTATTTAAACATCAAAGAATTTGATGGGCAGACAGTTATATTTATCAACCTTTACAATCTTCACAATGTTTGCAAATGTAATGCTGCATTGATTAGAAAATAAAGCTGGATGTGTTTTGAACATATGGTTTTCATTTGGAATTTTTTTCAATGGCCTCCTTTAGAAAAAGTAAACCTATTTACCAGAACAAAAACAATATCTAAAACATTCTTTCTTAAACATTCCGTAGATCACCTGTTACTTTGTTAAATGAGGATTCTAATTCAGTAAATGGAATGTGGGTCTGATATTTAGCTTATATATCATCATCAGATGATGAAGATGCTGGTTTCTGTATATATTTGGAGCAACAAAGAACTTTCATATCAAAGAAAAATGTTAGGGTTCCTGTTGTTGTTACCTTGCTTCTTGTCAAGAAATATTTTTCATTTGATTGTCAAGTGATATGTATTTCAAAAGATTTATTGATTTCCAGTTTCAACTATTAGTGAAGTTTTTTTTCCTACCATTCAGAGTTGAAAGTAATCCCTAAAAGGACATTCAAGTGTTTTCCAGGGTCATCTCCAACTTGCAAATTGGTGGAAATGTTGATCACACTGGACTATCAGGTGTCAATTCCCAATCATTACCATCATTCTGTAAACACAGTTTTCCAAACTCATTTAACCTCTCTAGCTTTCTGTAGAGTCATTCAATGAGGAGTCCTCCCATAAGACTTGAAAATCAAGAGGATGATTCAGTGCTCATTGATACCTGCAGATAGACATGTGGATAGAAGTGAGCACTGGAGTTACCTGGAGAAATCCTGCATCAGCTGAGAGCATCAGCACACCCACCACTGGCTTGACAGACGGGTCTGAGGGCCACATGGCTAGACTACCTATACCTTCAGGGGCAGTATTATCCTGTCTTCTAAAAGATCAGAGAATCCCCTGCCTCTAGTATCTGCTTCCCTAAATCCCTGAATGACATACCCAAGGCCTTGAAATTTGTGGTTCAAATTATAGTTCTCTGAATTGACAGAATTCCTGCTTGAAAATAAAAATGCTAGAGTGGTTTCCAAATTTCTCTATGAATACTAATTATCCCTTAATACAAACTCTTCAGATTTACTGAACTTTTTCCCTTATGAAATCAGCAAGAACATTGTCACGTATTGGCTGTTTTTGGTGGATGAATAGTAAAGAGAGAGTGAAAGGAGACTTCATGGCCCCTCTCTCAAAATCTACCAATGGCATTCAAAACCCAGATGAGTCCAAGAAACACTCTCTGCAGATAGAGACACACCAACATATGGAGGAGCAGCTGGGACAGCCCAGCATAACACATCTGCTTTCCTGGGTGGTTTTTGTTATGGCTTGTAACAGTGTGCAAGGAATACTGTGACGTTGTAGACAGTAATAAGTGGCAACATCCTCAGGCTGCAGGCTGCTGATAGTGAGAATGAAATCTGTCCCAGACCCACTGCCACTGAACCTTGATGGGACCCCAGTCTGTAAACTAGATGCCCCATAGATCAAGAGTTTAGGAGGTTTCCCTAGTTTCTTCTGATACCAGGCCAACCATCTGCTAATGCTCTGACTTGCCCGGCAAGTAATGGTGACTCTGTCTCCTAGAGATGCAGACAGGGAAGATGGGGACTGGGTCATCTGGATGTCACAACTGGCACCTAAGATTGGAAACAGAAAAACAAATATAAACCCAATTAATCAAGTTATAGTAGGACTTTCCTGACTGACCAGGCAGTACTTCCATAGTGGCTGAGTCAACTCTTAGTGTTCTCCTTCCTTACCTCGGAGCCAGAGCAGCAGGAGTCCCAGGAGCTGAGCGGGGGCCCTCATGTTCATGCTGTGTCCTGGCTGGGACTGACTCCTGCACTCAGTGTGACCAGTCCATTAACATGTCTTCAGGGTATGGGTCTGGGTTCTGTGGAATATGCAAATTAGCAAGGGGTGGGACTGACTGGAAACAGCTGCAGGGCTGGCTTCTGTCAGTAACTTAGTACAGACCCAGTGATCCCAGGTGTCTGTGGTCAGAGCAGTGAAACACAGATTTGCATGCCTATAATATTTTTCTACTTAGAGGACCCATTGTCACAAAATATCATTAAGGGAAAATTTTTAAAATGTATATCATACCTAATAATACATAGAATAATGTGTTTTAGAGTTGTATTGCGATTGCAAGGGGGAATTTCTTTGTTTGCAGGGAATGCATAATTAAGCGTTAGAGAGGTCTAGCAGGTTTTCAAGTTACTCTGAAATGGGTCAGGTGAGGGTAAAATCCTTTTTGCTGTACTATTTGTACTACTGTGAACATGAAACTGTTTCCTTGCTTGAAAAGGAGAAACAAAATACTCATAAGCATGTTTATTATATCCAAAAGTTGCTTGTAATGACCTCAAACCTTTGTTCTCACCAGTCTAAGGCCAAGGAATTCAATGAAAATGCACAAAGATGATACCATATTTTTTCAGCGTGTGTCACTCATAGATCCACAATTGTTCAGAGTTACGCTTTATACCTAGGGAATACATGGGTTTCACCTTATTCTTTATTGAAGCCACAGTTTTTCTGCCCCCTATTTTTCCACTGGGTATTATTTTTCACAGTTCATTAGCAGGAAGGGCTCGCTAGTGATGTTAGATCAACACAAGAAATATCTGTTCCTTCCTTGAGTTCAGGAGCTTGAACTGGGGTGAACTTAAAATTCTGAACCAATTTAGTCTTAGTGATCAATTGTCTCAAAAGAATGAAGACATCCCCTGTGTAAGGCTATTATATGCACTGCCCTCGAGCATGTTCCTAGAGCCTCATGCACAGCTCCCATGGACTCTGGCTTTCTGGAGAGCAGGTGAGTGGGAAGCCCTGGAGAAAGGCCCCATCAGTGTACCCTCATCCCTAAGTGAGAGCTACTGCTTCTCAGTGCATGTTCCTGCCACTCACCATGAATTCTACTTTCCTCTTTTTCTCTTTAGCAGTGATTAGGGACATTCTTAACCCAGTTTCCACCTTCCTTGTCTTCATCTTGTGGAGAGAAAGTCTCTTTCTCCTGACAAGCCATTGCACAAGTGTATGGATAAATCTCTTATCCAGATAAAACATGGACACAGATTTAAACCTCTATACCTCACATTTATGCCTTTGCTCAGGGCATCTTAGCTTGGCCTGGTATAGAAGCAGGGGAAGTAGAAGCAGCTACATGAACATTAGTGGATGACAC